CAAAAGTCAATAAATCACATTAAGTAAAAGGATGAATAGTGGCTGCTATTAAAAAGTCTGCTTTTGCTAGCAAGTTATGATGCCTATAGTACTGTAGGAGCTGAAAAGAATGATTGTTTAGCAATGTTGTGATAGTAGGATTTCAGCATCCTTACTGCTTCTGAAAGGATAGATACTGAGTAATTTCATATTGGTATCTAGAACCAAAGACCCAAAATATAAAATTTAGAAGTACAACAAACTTAGACAATGTAGGAGCTTGTTTGTTTGGATTTGGGTTTTGGATTAGGTTCATATATATCATACATATTTTATGTCACAAGTTAAATATAAAATGTTTAAATCACTGCATAGTACAAAAATCCTGAATTATATCTTGGAGTTAATAATTACACTTGCCTTTTAAAAGTACACTCAGTGTTTACTGCTGGAAAGATGGATTCTTGCCATTGTATTTAATGCTATTAATAGAACAAACATTTACATAGAAAATCTAATTTTTGTAAGAAAATGCTCTCCATTATTTATTGCTGGAATAGAAATTAAAGAAAAATTTGCTTTCAGGCATTTTTTCATTATACCATGGCCTCTTCATTATTACAAAGTAAAACCAGAAAAAGGTGAATTCTAAAAACTTCTCCACATAAAACAATATACATTAAAATTCCTTTGCATTGTGGGTAGAAATAATTACCAAAAATCCTGCTGTTAACCAGCAATTATAACTCAAAGGAATTTCAGACTCGTATCTTATACCTGCTGCATCTAAGAGACAATCTCTCAGTCATTCACATTCTTAAATATTTCTTCCAAGTGGGCTACTTTCTAGGGCAAATATAAACAGAAATGCAGTTGTTTTACTCTATTCCCTCCTACATTTTTCCAAATCCAGATGGGATACTTTCCTAAGTCTTCTTTGATATTATAAATGTGTCTATTTTTCACTCAGCCAAAGGCTATGCCATTTCAGCTGTTCTGGATTTTTTTTTCTAATGCTAAACTTATGGCAAAAGAAAACTGTCAGTAAATTCTTAGCCATGTTTCTCCACTATATTAGTTTTGGAGCTTTAGCTAGAAGCAGTGTAACGGTAATGTATATGTTGCTCTTACCCAGTTCTTTAATGTACCATGACCATGCTCTCTTTATTACAGAGCATTGTAAAAACAGAACTGAAAAGGTAGGAGCATACTTTGTTTCTACAACATGTCACTGCTGGGGCTGGGGTATGACCAGACTAGACTAACAGCCCCTTTAGGATTATTTCAGACAGTGCTTTATCAATCAAGTATGACTTGTAAAACAGAATATTTGAAAAAAAAGCAAAAGGCACAATACTTAAAGTGAAAATTCAGTACACCTATAGCAGCCACCTGCAGGGCAGCAGTGCATTCATGGTTCTTGGGCTGACAGTTATTATAATGTTCACAGCCTTTTAAAAAACTCCTCTTACCTGTAATACACAAAGAAGAGAGGAAAAAATTATCATCCTCCAGAAACTGACTATTCCCCTGGATAACTGCACACTGATGAGCAACATCGAGAAAACATGTTGGAATCACAGAATTGCCATGACTGAATTCTATAGATAAAAAACTCCCAAACTATTTGCTTCTGTGAGTTAAGCTGGAATTGAAACTATGTTTGCTAGAGGTGAAGTCCAGCCTCTGACTCAATGCTCTCAACATTCATTTCCTCATCGCCTGCATAGGCTCATTAAACTTTTTTTCCAGTGAAGCAGGATAAATGTGAAGGGTAAACTTAAGGGCTCAGATGTCCTTGAATAAGCCATTTTGGAGCCTTCTATCCAATAAAAATTGTTGACTCCTACTTCATGAGTGTGCTTGGAGAATGTACACAATAAAGAAAGGCTCCAACAGCCCTGGTTAATAGGGCCATCGAGTGATGCTCTTGGCAAAACTGCAGATCCAGTGAAGTGATTTAGGCAGGATACAGATGTCCTGATCAAAGTTTTCCATTCATTAGCAGGGCTCTATGCTCAAAACTCCTCAATAAGCATTGCTGAACACTGAACACAGCTTACTTTGTTTGTACGTGTATTCACTGTGTTCTGACTCCTTGCTTGCTTGAAGAAATAGCAAGAATGCATGGCAGAAAAGCAAGACAGAGCTCTTTTATTTTTGTCACTGTTCTGAATGCCAAAATCTGGCAGCCTAGCACTGTGGCTTTGGTGCAGTACCTTGTTGTGGCTTTTGAAGATGTGTCCAAATAAACACTGCATTTCTCAGATCCGAATCTAGAGATTCTGACTGTACTTTTTTCTAACTATAGTCCTGCAGACAAAATATAACTGCCTTTATTGCTATTGAGTTTAGCCAGGATTAGGGAATCAACATCCAGTAGCTGCTTTGATGATGGCAGCTGGTAGTCCCTTTTTGAAACTTGGTAGCAGATATATCACCAATCCTTCCAATATCTCTCCACTCCACCCACAAAAAATAAGTCTCAGGAGGGAACAACTAATACAACAAGAACTAATGCATCATCCTCTTCACCTCTGCTTAACTACAATATGCAATTATCACACGGGTCATCACTGATCCTGTTCACAGTTGCATGGCTGACTCACTCTGACTGCTTTATGCCAAAAAAAGTTTTTACTGTTCCTTGCAGCAGCTCTGCTCAATGTAGATGAGCTCACATGTGAATCATAAGGCACTGGAAGAAGATATGTGAGAGCACCGGAATCAGAAAAAGCAGTTTGGGACCCCAGGGAACTCTTTACACAGTATATTTAACCAGAATCTTCCCGTATTACAACACAGCTTGAAAGAAAACTGAGTGCACTGCCTGCAGTTGACAAAGAAAATAAGCTGAAGGAGTTAAAACACTCAGTTGGAACCCTGCTGGCAAAAAAATTGCTTAACCTCCTCAAACCTTGAATTGGCAAGTTTTTTTCCCTTCTCTTAGCAAAAGCACTACTTTCTCGTTACAAACCTCAGCTTATTTATAGTTAGAGAGACATGAAGCCTATGGGTCCACTTAGGGTGGGGCTGCAAAGGGGCTGCCAAGGGAAGGGCTGGTTGTAGAAAGGTCCTCTGACCCATCCATCACGCCAGAGCTACAGTTAACGTTAGAGAGACACAGCCTCGGGGTCCAGCTGGAGGGGGGCCTGCAGTGGGCTGCCAAAGGAGCAGACAGGCAGAAAAATAAATTCTCCACTCATAACTGCTATGTCTTTGGAAATGGTTTGGTGTTCCTAGGCTCAGGACAGAAACCTATGGTTAGATCCTGGATCTCCTGGTAATGCTTGACATTGTATATTTTTTACTTGCCAAGTAATCTTTCATTTAGACTTTGACTTACATGTTTTGTGATTCACTTGCCTGTTCCTCATTCAGGTGTCCCTGGCCCTAAGATTACAAACATGGCTACACATATGGACCGTTTGTCCTTGTGTGCCAGACTCCATCATACAAGCATGGAAAAGCTTTGGGAATATCCCAAGTAGCCTTACTACCATTAAATCACTTTGTCAGAAAGTAAGGTGAGAGGCAAGTTCATGGAGGCTGACAGGGACTAGTAGTGGAGTTTCAAATCCAAACACACTACAAGTGTTTAAACTACAGGTTCTTCTGCAGAGGATTAAACTCAGATCTGTACCCAAGACCTGTCTATCAACTTTAGGAAGGTTGGAAAAATTCTTTTCAGGCTGAACATAGTCTTTCACTCAAGAACAGATCCAGATCTTCTGTTTTGCATATAAGATCATCCCCTCCTTGACTGGATGCCTCTTTTTTGTAAATAAGTAATGCAAAATGAGTAGCCAGTGTGAGCTTTCTTCCTAAACTTGGTTACTTTTCTGAAGTTTAAATAATTTCTAAAACATAAAAATTAAGACTTTTGAATTCAAAATGCCCAGATGTTTGGTAGATTAAGAATTATTCTCAACTTGGAAAGGGATGAAATGAAATTTTATTTAGAGAGTTCAAAACACTTTCATTTTTTAATGTTAAGAAACCACAAAATATAGTAAGAGTTCTCTGTTTCCCAATTTGAAACAATTGAACAATATACAACTCTTTGGAGATGCCAACCTAAATGTGTCAGCCAGATGTTTTTCTTCTAACCCAGTTCAATTAAAATATTTTATGAAGGACCACCCGTAGAAAATTAGAAAATAAACAATGATCTATACTGTAGCTGAGAAAATAATGAATCTTTGGATTTTAAAATATAATGAGGAAACAGAGGGTGAATTGAATACCTATCCATGACAGTGATGTGCAACAGTCTCTTCCTAGTAAACTAATTATATGAACTAGAATAGCAGCAAGATATTAAAATACAGATTGTAGGACACACAGAAAAAAGAACACATAAAACTCTGCTTACCTCTGAAATTAAAATTGCACAGTTTTTAATCTTTTCTAACTTTAGCCAGGGAGACTCAAACACATTATTTACTTGAGCTTTTACAACTTAGCTGATGTTTTTTCTGTGATGTTTCATTCTTTTCCATGAAACTACATATGAACATAAAAAAGAGAAATATCTGTATTAAAAATACCATTAACAGAAGTTTCTGCTTTTGTGGGTAAGCCAACATCTTTCCTCGTGTAATATGAGTGCTGAACGCTGAAGGACACAGAAGAATGTAGGGCAGAAAGTCCCCCCAATCCCAAGTCCAGTCCCTTGTTATTGTGGCAACCACATCGTGTAATAGCTACTATAAACTAAAATGTTATATGTGGATATCGATGGAGAACAGTTAGCTTTCTAGTTGAATATGCCCTATGAAAAAAGAGTTAGAATAATGTGAACTCATTGAATCTATGTGCCTTACAGTCTGGGGAATGGTGTCAACATCTCCACCTGCATTTGATTGCAAAAATAAACTAACCAACATATTCTGAATGAATGAGGACTGATGGAGCCTCTGCTATTTGGATGATTTATCTCGAAAAGATATTTGAAGGACAACATGCATCATTAAGATACATACAAAAATAGTAAATCTAAAAGTCAATATAAAGAGTCCATATACAGACACTACTAGGGTTTGTTTTTGCAGGATGCAAAGCTGCACTATGCCCAAGGACCCCAAGCTGCGGTTGCTGCTGGATCACAGCGGGGATCCTCATCAGGGTAGAACACAGGCACTGAACGTTTATGGTAATACTGAAGCCGTGAGAGCAGTTTTTCCACCACATGAGGATATTTTTCAGACAAATCATTTCTCTCTTCAGGATCGTCAACAATATCAAACAGCCAAAGTCTCTTCATTGATGGATCAGATGACTGAATCTCTGACTCATTGAACAAAGATGGTGGAGGAAACCAATGACCACATCCTGAACAAACAGAAACAGACCAAGGGTCAGTTCTCAGACATGGAGCAGCAGTGTGGAGACACTGAGCTATGCTGTACTGCCAAATTCACCAGGTCTCTTAACAAGCCCCTGGGCAGGGACTGTTGCTGCACTCCTTAACTCTAGCCCTGCACCAGAGCCTCTCTAGTCCAAGGCTACCTATAATGAGTCCTATTTATGCAGAAAAAAACCCTGCAGCATTGGGATTCAAAATTCTGTGACACTTAATTTCACATTAATTAGTTTCTTCTTGGATTCTATGATTGTTGTGGGTCCCTTCCAACTTGAGATATTCTATGACATTTTTCCACTAACATAATTTGTAGACAAAATCTTTGAAAATGAAAAAGTATATTGTTTGGATTTCAGAAGTGCTTATTCTAGATTTTTGCATGTGGTTAAAAACCTAATAAGTTAGCAGAATTACTAATAAATTAAAACACATGAAACAGGAATAAACTGTTTGTAGTAGATGAGAGATAGGCTGTATCTGTACAAAAAGGAGTTATTTCATTACCTGGATATCCAGTTAGTAACTTCCATTTTCCATGTCGTATTGCTGCATGCATGGATATATTGAAAAGTGTATCATCCCATGGAGAAGAATTGCTCTGTGGTAAAGATGTTCTGTTGTCAATGCCAAGACCTTAATGAAACAGTAAATTAAGTTAGGTACATTGCATCATCAATTTATTTTTATGTATTGGATAAACAATTTGTTGTATATAAGTGCAAAGATCTGTGCTACGATTCAATGGATGTATTTAAATCAGACTTTGAACTGCATTTTAAAAAGTTACGAATGGAAAATGTCACAGCTGAGTCTGGATAACTGGACTCATTCTGTACACAGGTATTGTACGTGATCTCATTTCCTTGTATTAAGAATTGCTAAATTTGGACATATAAGTGCCTATATCTTTTGCCAATTACAAATGTAGGACTGAAAGATCTTCCTAGTCAATGCTACTGCTGTTAACTCTCTTGGATCACTACAGGGACAAAGTCCCAGGTCCTGAGGTATTCACATGCCAAGAGCTGTCTCTCTGGACTGAGCTGGCTACGTTCACAAAGATCCACATCTGGTCAGCAAGCCACTTCTATGGCCTGACACGGCGTGAATATGTCTTTATGCTGTCTTTAGTAGAGTTGTATATGACGTGGCCTGAAATTCAGATACTATCAAAAACTGAATTGTCAACTATGCACAAGTTCCCTCTCAAAAGGAAATCTGAAGCTCTTTATAGGAGGGAGTTCAGAAAAAAAAAAGAAAATAATGTGCACTGACCAGAGATGGTCAGAAGACCATCTGAAACCAGAAGGGAGCCAGACAGACACTCTAAGAGCACCCAAAACAACTTGCATATCAGCTTTCATAAATAAAACAGGAGTTTTATTTACAAGAGAAAAAATTTAGATAAAATTTAAGAGTTTTAAATTAATTGTATCAACTGATAACAGTTTATCAATGACAACCAGAAGGCAAATATAATCACACTAGAAGAGACAACAGAAGACGGAGAGAAATCAATACTGGTTTTGTAGCATCTTTCAAGAGATGGTTTTCAATCAGTTTAAGGAATCTGAAAGACTCAGCTGACAGATTTTTGCCCCTGAAATTAAAAAGAGAATACACAAGATGACTATGTGAGAGCAATAGGAAGGAGAACAAGAGATAACTAAAAAGAGTAAATTCAACACAACACAGTGGGGCAAATATACATCCAATGGAAAGAACAACTGAAGGTTTGGAAAGGAAATGCTAGGACACAATTTCTCTATTTTTTATGGAGGTCTGCAAAGTTTCTATTTTATTACCGGGCTTCACACTTGGAATTGTTTTTTTCTGTAATAAGCACATTTGTGCATACACAACTTTCCTGTCTAAATCAGACTTGTGTAAAATTCCCAGGTTAATAAGGCTATAAAAGCGGCTACTTGTTTTGAGTATGCATACTCAAAAAGATTAGGGAAGACTCAGTTCATGTTAGATCAAGAAGCACTGAAGCTGACCTAAAAAAAGCCATCAAACTCCTTTAAAAACCAAAGAAACTTCATAAATAACCATGTCAGAATCTCTTCTGGAAGACAAATCCTCACACACGTGATTTCCATAGCAAATACAAAACAGTTTAAAGATTATTACTGCTTACTTTTCAACATCACTGTGTTATATATTATTCTGTCATAATGTTGTGCTACTGAGAATACTCAGCTTTGCCATCTACTTTCTTAAGCACAATGAAAGACATTTGGCAGGTCAGAAAAACAGAACCTGGCTTTTTAAACAGTATGTCTCAAAACTACAATATCAAGGCTTAATCTAAAGACAAAATTAGGTACGCCTGCATTTCTGATTTTAAGGTTTAGCATAGGAATGTATTTCTGACTGCTGAGCTGTGAATCCATAATATTACACAACATAACTTATTTAAAATACTTCAAATAAATAGTATGAAAGACTGCATTTTTATGTATACTTCATGAGATATCCATAGAATGCCATGCATGAGACTTAAAATAAGATTCAAGAAGATAAAATAATTTTTAAAAACCCAGATTTGATTCAGTTAACAAAATCAAACTCCTAAGCAAAGGAATGCTTTTATCAGAGCTTGAAGTTGTTTAACGAAATATTATCTTTCAGCAAAATTTCTTGAAGAAAAATGGATAAACTTCCTCATGTTGAGCTGTTACAAATAGAACTCTGTCAATCATGTTAATTCAGCCACTGCAAGCACTTGTCCTGTGTCAAAGAAATGTATGTACTGTCTACTATTCAGGCAACTGCTTTGCTTCCCCAACAGCATAGGTGAACTTTCATCATATATGTCAGCCATGGAAAACAGACTGACACTTTTTTGAATGTTCTCTATAAGGATACTTACAGCACTGTCCGTTTATTACATTACATAAACACTAGATACAAATGAAGATAAATAAAAATATTGCCTGATATGAGTTCTCTTCTTCCCATCATATGACTTGCGTCTTAAACTTGGATATTTCTCCCACTGCATTTACCTACTTCCTCCTTCTCTTCAGTCCATCTGCTAAGTTTCTGCCTCTGTCTAAATTCTTCAGCTTTTCTAGAACAGATGAAATCCAAAATGCCTGGGCAGTCTTCTTCCTTGCCATATGAATTTTACAGGGATCCCTTTTCCGGTTTGGCAGATTGAAGAACTCACATTCTTTTTGTTTCCTTTTCAAGATAAAATGTTCACTCCCATAGCATCTAAGCAGCTTTTTTCTGCATTTATTCTGGATTCCTGGGGAGGTTTTTTCTTCTTTTTTTCTGTTATGGTTGACTGGGCAGTAACAACAGCTCTGTGGACTAATTAAGCAGCCAAAGGACAAGTGCCTTTCATTGAGCTCTGTGATCAAGTTTTCTTTCTTATGCCTGTATACTCTCCTGACAGACTTAAATATAAAAATGTGATGCTTTTGCTTGTGCAAAGAGGCTAGACAATTTATTTTTTTGTCATTTGATCACCAGTATATCAGTGGCTAATGAAATACTAAAGCTTTGTTTTTACCTTGAAAGAAAAATCACACAGACTTTGCCATGAATTTTATTACTGTCAAACAGAAGCCACTGTTTTCTGAAGTCCAACTTCACGGCCTCACCAGCTGCTATATTTCTTTTTTAAGTAGGCTCTTGGGAAATTATAGAACTTTCATTGGTTAAAAAAGCAGTGACCTTTCATTCAAATATTTATTTTCAAATATTTAATGATAAAATGAACTTAACTAAAGATTTTAGAGTTTTGGTTGGAGTTGTTGTGGTTTTGCCCAGCCAGCCAGCCCCTGGGGCTGAAGACGGTTTTGTCCAGGTGGATTTCCGGACAAGAAGCCAATTAAAACTCTCAGTAACACCATTGCTAATTACATATTTAAGAAAACAGAAGAGAAGGTGGGTTACACAGTTAAAATTAGGCAGCCATGTAGGAGTGGCAGCAGGCCTTGAGGAGGGTCAGGGCCCCCTTCTCCCCTGGCTTGGGCCAGGGGCAGGCATGGAACTGAAGTCCCCCTTCTCTCTTGTAAGAGAGTAGAGAAAAAAAACTGTAAAAATCTGACTGCTTGGACAAAGAAACCGCTGCAAAAAAATTCCAGCAAAGAGATAACAGAGTGTCCAAGGTCGAAGCTGGCAGCTGCAAGAGAGAGAAGAAAGTTTGAAGGAGGAGGGGCTATTTCTTCCCCCTTTCACTCTCTCCTCAGCAGGGAAAAGATTGAAAAATAAATCCCTGCTACCTGTAGAAATTTGTTGGGGTAAGGAGACCCCCGTGCTGCTCGTGGAAGAGCCTGCACTGGAGTAAGTTGATGCATGAAGAAGCCGAGGCTTTATGAGAGATCTGAGGTGAGGCAGAGTCCTGTTGAAGATTTGCGACCCTGAGGAAAACCTATGCTGGCGCGAGACAGCTCAGGTGGGATGTTGGGATCCAAGTAAAGAATCCATGCTAGACCCATGCCGGAGAGGTCTATCAAGGACTGTTCTCCCGTGGGAAGGTACCCCCACAGGAAACAGGGGTGGACTCACAAGCCATTATCCCCTGTAATCCTGTGGAAGAAGATCCATGGTAGGCAAGTGTCCCCTTGCAAGTCCATGGAAGAGAAGACCTTCAGGGCCTGGGTAACCCCCAGCCTCCAGTCTTAGCCCACAAGGGGGGTAGGCCCAGCCCTGGAGGCCAACACAGAGCAAGAGAGAAAGAGTTCCAGCTGCGACGAGAGTGCTGCAGAGTTACTGGAAAGACCTGGAGCTCCGAGAATGGAACTAGAGACTGCTTTTCCTCCTTGGACTGATATAAAGGGGGGAGGAGTATTTCTGTAAATACATAGTACTTTTACTTAAGTAGAATTGTTACAGACGTAGTTCTTTAGTAGTTTTTATTTTGCTAATGATAAATGTTCATACTATTTTCCCCAAATCCAGTCTCTTTTGTCTGCATAAACCTTCCCTCAACTAATAATAATTGTGTGGGGAGTGTAAAAGCAAATTGACCCAGAGCAAAACCATGACAGGAGTTCTAGGTCACTGTGTAGTATCCAAACAGCTTTTATACCTCTACAGAAAAAACTAAGTCTTTCAGGAAATGTTGCCCTTGGTAAGTGATTTTGGAGTTTATAGCACAGTTCAAGAAATCCTTAGTCTTGACAGTCTGAAAAATAGTTTCAAGATCACATTTTTAAAGGAACGGGGGTGGCCAACTTTCACTACCCACAAAAGTAGTTTATTATCTAAATACTTTAGAAGCCTGGCCCTTTGCCCCTTATGGAAACTTCAGCTTAGTTCTTTTAGCTTTATTATCATATATTCTTTCCATACACATATGTATTTCAAATTAGGATGAAAAATCCTAAATAATTTTCAGTTGCTAGTTGCATCTTCAAGACCTGATTTTCAGAAGGCCAATGTCATCAATTCTGAAAAATCTATGCAAGATGCTCAGAAAGCATCAATCAAAATGTTAGCATACTCTTCAGGCAAGATGTTGGAAAATTTACTACTGCAAGTATATAAATAACATTATGAATGATGACCAGAGAATATGCTGGACTTTTTTAGAAAAGTAAGCATTATTTCAGTGCATTAACTCTTGTTAATCCACAAACCTAAGTATAACAAATGGCAAAGTAATGAACATGGGG